TCCTTGACGGTCTAAGAGAGCATATGTTCCAGCTGGACCTTAGGGATCAGCCAGAGCAGGCTCGTTACATTGTTGTTTGGGATAATGTCAGCTTCCATTGTGCTGCTCTGGTTCGTGACTGGTTTACGAATAACCCGAGGTTTTCTAACATCTTTCTGCCTGCATACTCTCCCTTTCTAAACCCGATAGAGGAGTTTTTTTTTTCGGCATGGCGGTGGAAAGGATATGACCGAGAACCTTATATCCGTGCTCACCTCCTCCAGGCCATGGAAGAAGCCTGCCTAGACATATCAGTAGATGCATGCCAGGGGTGGATCAGGCATGCAAGAGGATTTTACCCTCGCTGCCTGGCTAGGGACAATATAGCCTGTGACGTGGATGAGATTCTCTGGCATGACCCAGAACAAAGACGGGATACTGAGGCGGAATTTTATTTTTTTTTTTACAGTTGTGCTGTGTAGTACATGAATGAATAAAAATGTGCCAATGTATACATTGGTTGTGTCTTTTGTGTTCATGTGAATGTTTTTGAGGGGGAGAACCACAAGCAACATAACTTACCAGTTTTGGATATATTGCTTTGAATTTATTGCACCAGTGTGTAATCCTGTGTTGTAGTGTGTTTTTGAAAGCTTGTGTGTGTGATGTCTGAGGGAAAAGTTTAGTTTTTCAGCAAGAGTGAATGGTGTAATAATTTTACTCAGTTGTAAGGGAATTAATCATTAATTCATTCAGGTTTTGATAGGACTCGGATTTGAAGAGCCTGATTCGAATTGCTTCTAAATTTGATAGTTTACACTCTTATCAGCTACTCGGCCAGCGAGAAGTTGATGTCAGTGTATATTACCAATTGAATATGTAAATTTTGTATTCTCCCTGGCCACGGGTGAAATACAATTATGATCATTTGTCAGCTCTTAAAGAGGTAATTATTATGAGTAAGCTACGAGCTAGGTAGCAAGCAAGGATCTTTTGGCAATAGAGTTGACACGGAAATTATATGACACCAGACAATTGAGTATTTATAAATGAAACCTGAAATTTATTGGCTATTCTAGATTACATAAACTTAAGCTAAAACACACAATACACGCATAGTTTCAGAGGAAGGAAAGTCTGTTAACAGAGTTATGAGTTTCATAGTTCTACCTCGTTTTCACGAGTGATGGAAATTCACCTTAAGAATTCACAGAGCAGCGAATCTAAATTCACCAGTTCAGATTAGAGAGTTGTTGTTTACTTGCGTTCTGCTGGTTGATAGCTGAGGTGACTC